CTCAGAACCATATTTTCTGCTTTACTCTGGGGAGTTTTGCAGAGTCCTTGGGACTGTGGGATACCTTAGACCACAGGGCCGCTTCACTTTGAGTTTCAGAACTCTGTGGACATCATGGAACCCAGGGCATTTGAGGGTGCCCATCAGAGAATGTGTGTAGGCTGGGCCAGAGGATGTGGAAGGCAGGTGGTGTCATTTCTGGGGCAAAGAGAAAGTAGGTTAGACATATCCATCCCATATTTATTTCATTCCATTTGAAAGGTAGAACTTTTTCCTCCTTGTAGCCAATAAAGAACCTTGCCTCCATGCATACATATTCATCCCTGTTCTCCTTTTTCCAATGAGGTTCTTCCTGGAGGCCATTGAGTGTCAGTGTTCTGAGCACAATATTTTCTGATTTAAACCAGGGAAACTGACAGAGCCCCTGTGACTGTGGATAGGTTGTGCCACAGGGCCCTTTGTAATTTGGCTTCAGAACAATGTTGACATCAGGAGGGCTAGGTCATTTGAAGGAGCTCAAAGGTGGTTTGTGTGTAGGCTTGGCTAGAGGTTTTGGGAGGGAGCTTTCCTCATTTCTGGGGCAAGGGGAGATGAAATTAGATATCTTACTCCCACATAACTTTCATTTCCATTTGAAATGGAGAATTTTGGTTTCCCTTGAAGCCATTCCTATCATCTTGCTGTTTTCTAGCTAGATTTATTCCCATTCAGGGATAATACAGTTGTCATCACACAACCAGCACCCAGTGTTGGTGGCAAGTTCCCACTCTGGTCCTGTGCTATGTGAGAGCAAAAAGAGTCTGATAGCCAAAAGGAAAGCTCCCTCCCCCTTCTGCCTGTGAGTGCTTGGTTCTTGTCCTGCTGTTTTGCATGCTGGGGTTAGTAGCCAGGTTGTCTCTCTCCCCTGCCTGACAGAGATGCCTTCATTCTGAAGAGCAGACAGTTCACACATGTGCCATATGTTCCAGGACCTATTCAGTGTAAAAAAAAAAAAAGCTTTTTCAAGGAATACTGCTCCAAGGACCATTGCCAAACACATCATCAGCTGGGAGAACCAATCTGTTAACCTTAAATCACTTCTGGTTTTTTTTCCACTGGGGAAAGGCAGGAGATACATCCGAAACCAGAAGTTTGCCCTCACTTTGTGAAGGAGGAATGAAGGCCTGTGGCTTCCTTTGCCCCAGGTGTAGCCAATGGAGGTTTCCAATTGCCCAAGCCAACAGATATTTCCTATTCCTGAGACTGCCAGCTTGCTAAGAGATTTTGCTAGATACTTTAATTCTCAATATTATTTCATTCTCATCTCTAAGAAAGTCCTTCATCACCTCTCTGTCCACTTCCATTCTTTTGCTCTTTTTTCAAACTAGGTTCTCCAGAAGAAAGACATCTCAATCACTCAGGGGGAGGGAGGCACCCCAACTACCCATCAATGCATTGACCCAAGGCAACCATGCAACAAGCTCAGAGACAAGAGGGCCAGCTGGTTTTTGGGAGAACAGACTCTAATTCTCTCACTTCCCACAGGACAAGAGGGGGAACTCACCACTAATCTCTAGGTGCTGGCCCTGAGTAAAAGTACCTTCCAGCCTCATTGTGAACCAAGACCTAGATAGGAGATCAGCAACAGTATAGAAATGTTTACAAGCAGGGCCAATACTCTACATTTAAAATAAGAATGGGATAACTCTGTAAAGAGATGTCTAACTTTTTTCCCTTACACAGGAAATGAGGCCAGCACTTTCTAAAGTTCTCTGGCCAAGCCTACACACAAACATTCACTGCTTAGAAACTTCAAATGCATTTGTTTTCCTAATGTCAACTTAGTTCTGAAACTAATTTTTTAAAAAAATTTAAATTCGATTAGACAACATATAATGCACCATTAGTTTCAGATAGAGTGTTCAATAATTTATCAGTTGTGTATAACACCCAATGCTCATCATGTCCCATGTGCCCTCATTAATGCCCATCACCCATTACTACATACCCCCCCACTTTCCTCCCCCTGTCATGGTTTGTCTCCCTCTCTGATGACTTCCCATTCAGTTTTCCCTCCCTTCCCCTATGATCCTCTGCAGTGTTTTCTATATTCCACCTATGAGTGAAGCCATATGATAATTGTCTTTCTCTGATTGACTTATTTCAGTCTGCAAAACACAGTCCAGTTCTATCCGCATAGATGTAAATGTTAAGTATTCATTGTTTCTGATGGCTGAGTAATATATACACACACACACACAAACACACACACACACACACACATATATATATATATGCACGCCCCACATCTTCTTTATCCATTCATCTCTTTTTTTTTATTTATTTATGATAGTCACAGAGAGAGAGAGAGAGAGAGGCAGAGACACAGGCAGAGGGAGAAGCAGGCTCCATGCACCGGGAGCCCGACGTGGGATTCGATCCCGGGTCTCCAGGATCGCGCCCTGGGCCAAAGGCAGGCGCCAAACTGCTGCGCCACCCAGGGATCCCTATCCATTCATCTCTTGATGGACATCTCAGTTCTTTCCAGTTTGGCTATTGTGGACATTGCTGCTATGAACACTGAGGTAGAAGTGCCCCTTCCAGATCACAACATTTGTATCTTTGGGGTAAATACCTAGTAGTGCAATTGCTGGCTCATAGGATAGCTCTACTTTTAACTTCTTAAGGAAACTCCATACCATTTTCCAGAGTGGTTAGACCAGCATTGCATTCCTACCAACAGTGTTAGAGGGTTCCCCTTTCTCTACATCCTCACCAACATTGATTGTTTCCTGTCTTGTTCATTTTACCCTTCTGACTGCTGTGAGGTGGTCTCTCATTGTAGTTTTGATTTGTATTTCCCTGATGGCATGTGATGTGTAGCATTTTTTTTTTCATGTGTCTGTTAACTATTTGTATGTCTTCTTTGGAGAATTGCCTGTTCATGTCTTCTGCCCATTTCTTGACTGGATTCTTTGTTTTTGGGTGGTAAGTTTGGTAAGTTCTTTATATCCCAGTTACTAGCCCTTTGTTTGATATGTCATGTGCAAATATCTTCTCCCATTCCATAGGTTGCCCATTCATTGTTGACTGTTCCCTTTGCTGTGCAGAAGCTTTTGGTCTTGGTGAAGTCCCAAGTTCATTTTTACTTTTGTTTCCCTTGCCTCTGGAGATGTGTTTAGCTAGAAGCTGCTGTGGCTGAGGTCAAGGAGGTTGCTGCCTGTGTTCTCTAGGATTTGGATGGATTCCTGTCTTACATTTAGGCCTTTTACCTATTTTGAGTTTATTGGTACAAACTTGTATGGTACAAGAAAATGGACCAGTGAAACTAAATTTCAAGGAGGCCCTGTTGTCTCCATTTCCCAGAGACATAAAGAATCTTCCAGACTTCCCAGGTTGAAGCAGAGGATATTGCTCTGTGACATTGGATCTGAATGGCTCACAGGGTGAACCCAGATAGAATAAAGAGGAAGAAGATGGAAATGGATAAATTATGGACCAAATCTATTTATTAAAACGAGAATAACTTGAAAGGGCACTTCCTGAGCTCACCAGGTCTATCAGCATGTGATATATTGGTGATATTTCTGTTCCTCAGAAGGACGGTTTTACAAGCTCAAAGAGAGGACTGCCATCTATCCTTTGGGATATCAGACATAGATGCTCTCACTTAGCACAAGACTGCTACAGGAAGTTGCAACCAATCCTCATGTGCTGGATATGTGGATAAAATCCCCTGCCCCCCATAGATAACCAACCCTAAATAAGAAATCAGCAAAGGGATGGAAATGGCTACAAGGAAGGCCAAGATCTACAATTAAATCGGGTTGGAATAAGGATACATCTGTGAAAGAAATGTATTACTTCATTTTGTTTTACCCAAGAAATGAGGCCATCTCCTTCTAAAAACCTCTGGCCAAGCCTATACACAAACATGATCTTCTGGGCTCCTTCAAATGCCTTAGGCCTCCTAAAGTTGACAGACTTTTGAAAGCATCTTCCAAGGGGCACTGTGCCCCAATCTGTCCCACAGACACAAGGACGCAGCTGGAATTACTTAGTATAAAGTAGAGGATATTACTCTGAGACACTGGATCTGAATGGCTCCCAGGGAGAGTCTAGTTTGAAAAAAGAGCAGAAGGCTGGAAATGGATACATGGGGGGGGGGCAAAGTTCTTCATTAGAGATGACTAGACATTCTAATGTCAAGAAAGAAGTAACTAGCACAAACTCCTAGCAAGCAACCTCTCTCAGGAAAAATAAACCTGTGGGTTTGGGCAAAGGTAAACCTTGTTTCTATACTTGGGAGCCCTGTCAACAAGAGGCCTGCATTCTTCCTAATGAAAGAGAAGGAAATCTCCTGGTGTTGGCTTGTTTGTTGCCCTTCCCATGAGTGGAGATACATAGAAGGGATTGAGGGTAACAGTTTGGTTCTTCTGGCTGATATTCAAGTGTTTGAAGTTTGGCCTTTGGAGTAAGATTCCTTGAAAGGTCTCTCTGGGTGCTGAATTGTCTGGTCTTCAGAACAGAGGCATCTAAATCAGCTAAGGGAGCAGCTAAGGGAAATATAGCCTTGCTACCTATCACCATGCTTATGCTACCTGACCTCACAACAAGCTCAAGGATAGCTACTAACTTCCTTTTATTAGATGCTAGTAGCAAGCTACATTCTAGTGACACTTATATCTTAGAGTTAAATATATGGCACATCCCTTATGCTTTCATACTTTTAAAATCGCTTCTAACATCCTTATATTAGATGCTAGTTGAAAGCTGTATTCTAGTAACACTGGTTTCTCAGAGTTAAGAATGTGGCACTTCCCTTGTATGTTCACACATAATTTGGAGATAGCTTCTAACTTCGCCAAAGAAGATGCTAGTTGAAAACCCCATTCTAGAAATGCTTGTTTCCTAGGTTAAGTACATGGTGCTTCCAGAATGCTTTCACACATACTTTGAGATAGCTTCTAACTTCCTTATTATTAGATACTTTATACTTAACTCTGAGAAACAAGTGTTACTTGCAGGGCCGGAGGGCCTGCGGGGGCAGGGGCTGGGATGGGCCAGGGCCTGGGTGAAGTGTGCTCCAGGACTCAGGGCAGGCGTGCTGTGGGGACGACACACGAGGGTGCAAGGGGCAGGCTCTTCCCGGCTCTGGGTGTCGCTCCCAGGCCCTGGACAAGCCTCGCTGCCAGCTTGTCCTCCCCGGTATTTTACGGCTCCTCTGTACTCTCCGGGTCCCTCCTCCCCAATCGTCCCTTCTCCACCTTTCATGAGGAGAGCCCGGGAACAGGGTCCCGCAGCCGGTGCTCCAAAAAGGGGAGGACCAGGTGTTCCAGGAATTGTGCTCTGAGGACCCGGTGCTCCAGAAACAGAGATTTCTGGCACAGATGGACTCTTCGCTCTCAGCTCAGAGTCACATAACTGGAAGGTGCTCAGTGGTTCCCCAGCCGGGGCTGCCGCAGAAACGATGTGTGTCCACTGAGAATGCCTCCGGGGACAGGAGCAACGGTGACCCTCCAGGAGGACCAGGACCCAGCTGAGGGGCCCTCCCATCGCACCCACGCACACACTCCCATGCCCACACCCCCCACCGTACGCAGAGGGAAAGGCCTGGAGGAGCCAACCGCGCGTGACGGGCGATTACTTCTTGATAGAAGGTAAATGTCCTCTTTTCTTCCTGTTGGAATCCTTATTTTAGGAAGTAAATATAATCTGTCTCAAACCTTAAGGAACCATTTATTTTATTACCTGACACATTACACCAAGGGAACCTATCCTGGATAATGAAAATATTTGGGGGCTTCACATGATCTTTGCTCACTCAGCAATATGGCTTTGAAATAAAAATATGTTTCTTAACTACTGGGAAAATGATGAGTCGCTCTCGTGTCTGCGGCAGAGATAGGAGGCCACAGCAAGGATGCCAGGCACACACACATCCCAGAGGAGGAAAGGCCGCAGAGACAGAGAGAAAGGCAGTGGCTGCAGGGACAGCAGAGAGGGCATGGGCACAATGGTCAGTACTCAGCTGTCTCTGTGGTGGAAATGTGGCCCAGGTACCATCTGGTCTCGCCTGTGTGACACTGTGAATGGACCTAAAGTACCACGATGTATAATTTAAAAGCATCAGAGTAAATTTTATATGAAGTTAACTTATCCTTTATTACAAATAAAATTCATGAAGCCATTATAAAGTTTATGAAAAACACAAAATATAGAAACAGCACAATGACAGGGGAGAGGAAGCCTTCTGTTGTGCTGCAGCCACCATGAGATGCTGCTCGGGGGACAAGGCTGGTGGCTCCACTGACGCAGGTGGCTGTGCCAGGCCTTCGATGCACTTGAGAGCGGGCACCGGGGCCTGCTCCTCCTTCTGGGGTGGCCAAGGTTGCAGGTGGCTCCTCCAGATCGGGAGAGTGAATCAGAGGTGTGACTACCACGTAGATTGGCTTTGACTCAGCAGCAGGCATCTCGAATCCGGCAAAGACTCAGCCCCAACACCCGTGCCTGGCATGAACAGAACACGGCAGGAGCTTCAGCAGGCCCCACGCTAAGAGCTGGGGAGGAGTCTTGAGGTGGTTCACGGTGTTGATCAGGGACAAAAGCTAGTTGCTCCACTGAGAGAGGTGGCTGTTCTGGCACTTCAACGACCTTGATAGCAGACGCCTGGGTGTGTTCTTCCTGCGCGGTGGCCAAGGGTGCAGGTGGGGCCTCATGGTTGGGATAGTGAATCGGAGATGTGACAACAATCTGCAGTGGCTTTGACTCAGCACTTGGCATCTAGGCTCAGGCCAAGACCTCAGCTCCAGAAGCAGGGACCCACTCGATCATATCAGGGCCTGAAGATGCAACAGGACCCAAGGAAGAGGCGGCAACAGGATCTTGAGGTGGTTCAGGGTGTAGAGCAGGGTATGAAGTCGCTTGCTCCACTGATACAGGTAGTTGCTCCATCACATCGATGACCTCCATAGCCGGGGGTGGGGTCTGTTCGGCGTCCAGGGCTCCCAAGGGTGCAGGTGACCCAGCAGGATGGACCAGGGAAACAGCGCTGCGACCAGCATGTACAGTGACTTGAACTCAGCAGCTGGCATCTCGGCTCGGGCCAAGCCCTCAGCTCTGGTACCTGGGACCGCCTCAATCACCTCAGGCCCTGAACGTGTAGCAGGCCCCACAGGTGGACCTGGGGTAGGCTCTTGAGGAGGTTCAGGGTGTTGCTCAGGTTAGGACGCTGGTCGCTCCACTGAGTTAGGTAGGTGCTCCGGCACTTAGAAGACCTGTGTAGTGGATGGGGAGGGCTGATCGGCCTCCAGGCCTCCCAAGGGCGCAGGTGTCTCTCCAGGTCAGAACATTGAATCAGAGCTGTGACCATCATCTGCAGTGGCTTCGACTCAGCGGCTGGCATCTCGGCTTGGGCCAAGAACTCAGCTTAGGTAGCTGGGACCGCCTGGATCACCTCAGGCACTGAAGATGCAGCAGGCCCCACACTTGGGGCTGGGATGGGCTCTTGAGGTGCTTCAGAGTGTGCTCGGGGTCCACGACTGGTTGCTCCACGGAGGAAGGTAGCTACTCTGACAAACCGATGACCTCCATAGCCGGTGGGGGGGTCTGTTCGGCCGCCAGGGCTCCCAAGGGTGCAGGTGACCGTCCAGGTCGGAAAAGGGAACCAGCGCTGTGACCACCATGTGCAGTGGCTTCGACTCCGCAGCTGGCACCTCGGTTCGGGCCAAGCCCTCTGCTCCAATAGCTGGGACCGCCTCGATCACCTCAGGCTCTTAAGGTGCAGCAGGCCCCACGTTCAAGCCTGGGGCAGGGTCTTGAGGTGGTTCAGGGTGTTGCTCGGGGTCGAAGCCGATTGCTCCACTGAGTGAGGTAGCTGCTCCCGCACTTCGAGCACCTCGATACTGGGGGGTCGGGACTGTTTGGCCACCAGGGCTCCAAGGGCCTTAGTGTCCTCCAGCTTGGAAAAGTGAATCAGGGCTGTGACCACCATGTGCAGGGGCTTCGACTCAGCAGCTGGCATCTCGGCTCGGGCCAAGCGCTCAGCTCCAATAGCTGGGACCGCCTCGATCACCTCAGGCCCTGAAGGTGCAGCAGGCCCCACGTTCGGGCCTGGGGTGGGTTCTGGAGGCGGTTCGGTGTGTTGCTCGGGGTCGAAGCCGGTTGCTCCACTGAGTTAGGTAGCTGCTCCCGCACATCAATGACCTCGACAGCTGCTGGTTGGGCCTGTTCGGCCTCCAAGGCTACCAAATCGAAGCGTCCCTCCAGTTCGGAATATTGAGTCGGAGCTGTGACCACCATGTGCAGTGGCTTCAACTCAGCAGCTGGCATCTCGGCTGGGGCCAAGTGCTCAGCTCCAATAGCTGGGACCGCCTCGATCACATCAGGCCCTGAAGGTGCAGCAGGCCCCACGTTCGGGCCTGGGGCAGGTCTTGAGGTGGTTTAGGGTGTTGCTCGGGGTCTGCAGCCGGCTGCTCCACTGAGTGAGGTAGGAATCCTGGCACATCATTGATTTCGATAGCAGGTGGTGGGCTCTGTTCGGCCTACAGGGCTCCCAACGGCTCAGGTGTCCCTGCAGGACCGAACAGGGTATCAGAGCTGTGACTACCATCTGCAGTGGCTTCGACTCAGCAGTTGGCATCTCGGCTCGGGCCAAGCCCTCAGCTCCAGAAGCTGGGACCGCCTAGATCATCTCAGGCCCTGAATGCACAGCAGGCCCTATGGTCGGGGCTGGGGCAGGGTATTGAGTTGTTTCAGGGTGTTGCTCGGTATCGAAGCAGGTTGGTCTACAGAGTTAGATAGCGGCTCTGGCACATCCATGACCTAGATAGGCGGTAGTGGAGCCTGTTCGGCCTCCAGGGCTCCAGGGCCGCAGGGGTCCCTGCAGGTCGGAACATTGAATCAGAGCTGTGACCACCAAATGCAGTGGCTTCCACTCGGCAGCTGGCATCTCGGCTCGGGGCAATTCCTCAGCTCCAGTAGCTGGCACGACTCTATCACCTCAGGCCTTGAAGGTGCCGCAGGCCTCCAGTTGGGCCTGGGGCAGGTCTTTTGGTGGTTCAGGTTGTTGCTCGGGGTACAAAGCAGGTAGCTCCACTGAGTCAGGTAGCTACTCCAGCAAATCGATGACCTCGATCGCCCATGGTGGGGCCTGTACGGCCTTGAGGCCTCCCAAGGGTGTAGGTGTCCCTCCAGGTCAGAATATGGAATCAGACCTGTGAGCACCATCTGCAGTGGCTTCGACTCAGCAGCTGACATCTCGGCTCGGGCCTAGCCCTCAGCTCCAGAAGCGGGCACCGCCGAGATCAATTGAGGCCCTTAGGATGCAGCAGGCCCCACAGTCGGGGCCTGGGCGGGCTCTTGAAGTGCTTCAGGATGTTGCTCGGGGTAGGAAGCCGGTGGCTACACTGACTTAGGTAGTTGCTCTGGCACGTGGATGTCCTCGATCGCCAGTGGTGGGGCCCCTTAGGATGCAGCAGGCCCCACAGTCGGGGCCTGGGCGGGCTCTTGAAGTGCTTCAGGATGTTGCTCGGGGTAGGAAGCCGGTGGCTACACTGACTTAGGTAGTTGCTCTGGCACGTGGATGTCCTCGATCGCCAGTGGTGGGGCCCCTTTGGCCTCCAAGGTTCTCAAGGGCGCAGGTGTCCACAGGTCGGAACAGTGAATCAGAGCTGTGACCACCACCTGCAGTGGCTTCGACTCAGCAGCTGGCATCTCAGCTCGGGCCAAGCCCTCAGCTCTGGTACCTGGGACTGCCTCAATCACCTCAGGCCCTGAAGGTGTAGCAGGCCCCACAGGTGGACCTGGGGTAGGCTCTTGAGGAGGTTCAGGGTGTTGCTCAGGTTAGGACGCTGGTCGCTCCACTGAGTTAGGTAGGTGCTCCGGCACTTAGAAGACCTGTGTAGTGGATGGGGAGGCCTGATCGGCCTCCAGGCCTCCCAAGGCCGCAGGTGTCTCTCCAGGTCAGAATATTGAATCAGAGCTGTGACCATCATCTGCAGTGGCTTCGACTCAGCGGCTGGCATCTCGGCTTGGGCCAAGAACTCAGCTTAGGTAGCGGGGACCGCCTGGATCACCTCGGGCCCTGAAGATGCAGCAGGCCCCATACTTGGGGCGGGGATGGGCTCTTGAGGTGCTTCAGAGTGTGCTCGGGGTCCACGACTGGTTGCTCCACGGAGGAAGGTAGCTACTCTGACAAACCGATGACCTCCATAGCCGGTGGTGGGGTCTGTTCGGCCGCCAGGGCTCCCAAGGGCACAGGTGACCCTCCAGGTCGGAACAGGGAATCAGCGCTGCGACCACCATGTGCAGTGGCTTTGACTCAGCAGCTGGCACCTCGGCTCGGGCCAAGCCCTCAGCTCCAATAGCTGGGACCGCCTCGATCACCTCAGGCTCTTAAGGTGCAGCAGGCCCCACGTTCGGGCCTGGGGTGGGGTCTTGAGGTGGTTCAGGGTGTTGCTCGGGGTCGAAGCCGGTTGCTCCACTGAGTGAGGTAGCTGCTCCCGCACTTCGAGAACCTCGATACTGGGGGGTCGGGCCTGTTTGGCCACCAGGGC